CCTGAAAGCTTTCACTCTAAAATCAGGAACAGGACAAGGATGTCCACTGTCACCACTCTTACTCAATATAGTTCTGGAAACACTAGCCAGAGCAATTAGACAAGAGAAAGAAATAAAAGGAATAAGGATAGGAAAGGAAGAAGTTAAATTATCATTATTTGTGGATGACATGATACTCTACATAGAAGCCCCCAAAAACTCCATCAAAAAACTTCTAGATTTAATAACCAAATTTAGTAGCACAGCTAGATACAAAGTCAACACTCAAAAATCAACAGAATTCCTGTACACAAATAACAAAGTCACTGAGAGAGAAATTAGAGAAACCACACCTTTCACAACAGCATCTAAAAAAAATGAAATACCTAGGAATCAATCTAACTAAGGAATTAAAAGACCTCTACATTGAAAACTACAGTACTCTGAAAAAGGAGATCAAAGAAGACATCGGAAAATGGAAAGATATCCCTTGTTCTTAGATAGAAAGAAACAATATAGTGAAAATGGCCATATTTCCAAAATTGATTTACAGATTTCTTGCAATCCCAATCAAAACAAATATTTTTTTTGGTACTGAGGATTGAACTCGGGTCCTTGCGCTTGCAAGGCAGGCAGCACAACCACTGAGCTAAATCCCCAGCCCCAAAACATAGATTTAATGCAATCCCAATCAAAACATACCTCACAGAATTAGCAAAAACAATCCTAAAATTCATTTGGAACCAGAAGAGACCTAGAATAGCAAAAGCAATTCTGGGCAACAAAGGCATGGCAGGGAGCATCGTAATTCCCAACTTGAAATTATACTACAAAGCTACTGTGATAAAAACAACATGGTATAGGGCTGGGGATTTAGCTCAGTGGCACCGCACCTGCCTTGCAAGCACAAGGTTTTGATTTTGATCCCCAGTACCAACCCCCCCTCAAAAAAAACCCCCAAAAAACAAAATGAAAAAAAACAGCATGGTACTGGCAAAAAAGACTCAAGGATCAATGGAACAGATTAGAAGATGCAGAAACAACTCCAGACAAACACAGCTACCTAACTTTGACAATGGAGCCAAACACCTTCACTGGAAGAAAGATAGCCTCTTTAATAAATAGTGCTGGAAAAACTGGCTTTCCATATGCCAAAGATCGAAATTAGACCCATATCATTCACCATGCACTAAACTCAAATCAAAATGGATCAAAGATTTAAATATTAAAACAGAGACACTAGGGCCGGGGATTTAGTTCAGTGGTTCTGGCACCTGTCTTACAAGGGCAAGGTCCCTGGGGCTGGGGATTTAGCTCAGTGGTTCCACAGCCCGCCTAGAAAGCATAAGGTTCCAAGTTCGATCCCCGGTACCAAAAAAAAAAAAAACCGAAACACTAAATCTGCTGGGAGATATTATAGGCAGAACTCTTGAAGACACTGGTGTAGGCAAAGACTTCATGAACCAAACCCAGATCATACAGGAAGTATCACAAAGAATCAACAAGTGGGACCTCATCTTATCAAAAAGCTTTTGCACAGCAAAAGAAACCACCAATAGAGTGAAGAGACAACACACAGTGTGGGAAAAATTTTTTGCCAGCCCTTCCCTCAGACAAAGGACTATTATTTAGAATATATAAAGAACTCAAAAAAAAATCAGACTCCCCAAATTTAAAGACGCAATCCAAAATGGCATCTGAAATGAATAGACACTTTTCAGATGAAGAAGTAGAAACAGCAAATAAATATACAAAAAAATGTTCAACATCACTGGTCATTCGAGAGATGCAAATTAACTCTGAGATTCCATCTCACTCCTGAAAGAATGGCTATTATCAAGACAACCAATAACAAATGTTGGAAGGGCTGTGAGGAAAAAGGAACACTTCTCCACTGTTGATGGGAGTGTAGACTGCTGCATCCACTGTGGAAATCAGTGTGGAGATTTTTTTTTTTTTCTTTTTTTGAGACAGGGTCTCACTATGTAGTCCATGCTGGTCTGGAACTCAGTGATCCTGCCTCAGCCTCTCAAGTGCTGGGATTACAAGTATGCACCACCACTAGCTCAGTGTGGAGATTTCTCAAAAAACTACAAGTAGATCTGCCGCCTGCCCTGCAAGCGCAAGGACCCAAGTTCAAGCCCCGGTACCAAAAAACAAAAACAAAACTAAAATTAGGGCCGGGGATTTAGCTCAGTGGTGCTGGCGCCTGCCTTGTAACACAAGGTCCTGGGTTCAATCCCTGGTACCAAAAAAAACCCCCCACTAAACTAGAGGTTTCATTTGACCTAGCTATTCCTCTTCTTGGTATCTTCTCAAAAGAATTAAAAGCATGCTACCACAGCGATATATATACATCCATGTTTATAATGGCACAGTTTGTAATAGCTAAATCTTGGAAACACCCCAAACACCCCATATGCCCATTAACTGACAAATGGATAAAGATGTGTTACACACACACACACAAAATGGAGTACTACTCTACCATAAAGAAGGATGAGCTTCAGACATTTATAGCTAAATGGATGGACCTTGAGACCATACTCTTAAGTGAGATAAATCAGACACATGTTCTGAGACCCTGTCTCAAAAAATAAATAAATAAATAAAACCCCACCAAAACCAAACCAAAAAAAGATTCAGTGCAGCCCAGTGTGGTGACATATGCCTGTTATCCCAGCTGCTCCAGAGGCTGAGATAGAAGGATTTCAAGTATGAGTCCAGCCTGGGCAACTTTGCAAGACTCTGACTCTGAAATTTAAAAATGAAAGGACTGGAGATGTAGCTCGGTGGTCCCTGGGTTCAATCCCCAGAAAAACAACAAGAAGTATAACAAAGTAAATCTAGTCAGGATCCAATTGAACCAGCATTGTGATCTTCCTGGGAAAATGAAAAAATCAGCAACATGCCTGAGAGAGAGGACACAGACCTGAGGACAAATAATTAAAGCTAAATGTGAGCGGTAGGGTCCAAAACCCCGCCTCTCTCCTCCCACAGGATCTTGGTACAAAGTTCAGGCTTGAACTCACTGTAGTCCTGGTGACTTTGAATTCTCAGTGATCCTCCTGCCTCACCCTCCCAAGTGCTGGGATTATAGTCATGCACCACCATGACTACCAACAAGAAATAGGATTTCAACAGGTGAAGATAACAGCCCAAGCAAAAGTATAAATAGGTGAGGATGGCTACCAAAATAGTGGGCAGCCTAGCAGAGGTGCACTGCAGGAAGAAAAGGAGATAAAAACAAAGTTGTATTTGGTATCTTAGAAGACACATGTATGGATAATCTGGATTTGTGGATAGTGGGAAGCTACTGCTTACTCCTTTTTCTTCCTCTAGAAGGTGGATCAAGCCATTGATTCACTTTCTGAAACAGCAGTATTAAAATACCTGTCCCTTCAATTTAAGCACATGTCTCGCACATAGCATGGCTTAATAAAACCCTGAAATTAATTACATAATTCACTTTCACAAATTAGAGTAATTGAGTTAAACATATTACCAAACTCATTACAGTGGCTTCTAATTTTCTCCAACCTGGAATTACACTGTGCTCAAAGTTGACGGCACCTACCAGTAGCTGTTAAGACCTCCAAGTCTCACCAATCAGATTCTTAGTGTTCTAATATTTGATTATTTGATTTACAATCACTTCTTCCCCCCCTTTAAAGTCCATTTAACTCAGCAGTTAATCTTATAGTCACTGTACTGTCATAGCTTTATTTCTTCTCTATCTCAAGTGCACAGAAGCAACTCTTATCCAGTAGGTGTCCTTAATTATGGTAGGTTTTAAAAAAAAATTCTTTTTGTGGTGCTGGGGACAGAACCCAGGGCTTTATGCATGCTAGCTAGGCAAGTATTCTACCACAGTTACACGCCCCGCCCTCTTTAATGTTTAAAGTTCAGAGTAAAACTTCATTAGCAAATTATAAAAGTAAAAAATATCTGACCTTGAAAAGTCTACATCAATGCTTATTAACTAGATATTTTAAGAAAGAAACTGGGCAGCAAAATATCTTTTATTTAAATTCTAGAATGGGGATGTATCTCATTGGTAGAACCACTGCCTAGCATTTGCCAGGCCTTTCAAAAACAAATAATTTTGTTTCCTCACCACCTCAAAAACAAGTAATTTTTTAAAATTCCAGGCTCTCTTTCAGCTCATATTTGGTATAATTTAAATAAAAGAATTTTGCGAGAAAATACTCATTAAGGCAAAGCAAATAAAATAATTCATTTTATTTGGGAAAGAATGTTTCATGATCAGTGTCACTTTGGATTCTTAATTTTAAAACAAAGCCATAAGACTTAATACAGAAAGTATAACTGAAAACGAACTAGTATAAAATTATGGTTAAGTGCCATCGTGCCTTGGTAATTAACCAAATTTGTCTCTACCATATTAGTGGGGGAGTTTACAAATTTTCCTAAAAATGTCCTAGTTGAAGCCAATAGATATTTTTCTTTGTAATAAATGTATAAAGAGGTGAGAGGTGTCTGAGTGCTTCAAACTTGGCATCAGAAAATTAATACTGTAAACAGTTCTGATATTTCAGTTAAAGATTTTTGTTTCTAAACACTACAGCATTCTCTCATTTGGGAACTGTTCCCAAAGTTGCAGTCCAAGTAGTTCTTAACCTGCAGTTGAGAGATCTGCAGAAGAATCATGAACCTCAAATGACGTGCAAAACTCCTGTGTACGCGAATTTTCGGGGGTGGTGGGAGGAGACATGCCATGGAATTCTTGAGAACCTCAAGCAAGCCTAGTACTGTGGCCCGCTAAACTGACAAAAGAAAGAGAGAGGGAAAAAAAGCGTGCATCTCAACTATGCAACCACCGTTAAACAGGCTTAAACAGGATTCTCTCATCCACTGACCCAGATCCTGGCATTAACCATCCCTTTGGAATGCCTTCTGTTTTAGATCTAAATGGTTCATCCCATACTCCCACCCCCAGTCTTCCAGTGACCCCATCCATTCTCGACCCTCCTCCGCGATCGTGCGGGTTGCGCGCGTACCTGGGCGCTGGCTCGATTAGGGTGGTGGTGTCCAGGTAGTGTATCTTGTAGAACTCCAGCAAGGCCGGCAAATGGTCAAATTCCTGGTCCCCGATCTTAAAGCGGCGGTTGGGCAGGGAGTTAATGATGTAGTGGGAGACTCGAGAGTTCTCAGACACCGACAGCACATAGTCCCCGGGGCAGGTGGAGGAGTCGCGAACCAGGAACATGCCATGGCGCTGGCCTTGGAGCCGGGTCTGCGCCTCCTGGCGAGACACCGGCCCCATGTACCAGGCAGAGCGGTCCGAGGAGTCGAACCTGGCGGAGGACATGGTACTGGGTCCGGGAGGCGGCTGCTCTCGCCGGTTCTGGAAGCCTTGGCGGGGCAGACTGCTCTGGGGCTGTGAAAGGGCCTCTAGGCACACCTCGAGGCGCGCTTAGCGAGACGGACCAACACCTTCCTCTCGGCTCCAGGTCCGCAGCATCCTCCGCCGCCGCCCGCCTGCTCCGGGATTGCCTCACTGAGACACCTGGTCAGGGAAATGCGGGGCAGAGCCCAAGAGTCTTAGCGGTAGAAGCCGAGCCGCCGCGGAGGCCGCCCCGGGGACTTTAGGCTGCCCTGCGTACCAGGGTGGCTCCAGTGAATCCCAGCCCGGAAAGTACTGACTCCGCAACCTCACGGATCTGCACCGATCCCTGCTGTCACTCGAAGCTCCGGCCTCCAAGGAGCGTTGCGCCTCTGGGGCGGTTATGCTCAGCCGGTTCCCAATAGCCACAGCAACAAAATGGCGGACGCGGGACAAGCAGCCGGCCACCTCCCCCAGCGCTCAGCGCTTTCCATCTGCGCACGCGCGGGGACCGGGCTCCCAGAGGCCGCCGGGGTCCTCCCCGTGACGTTAGTTCGCGCAGCCAATCAGGAGTGCGATCGCGACGATCTGGGCGTGCACCTCTCGCGCCTGCTCCCGCGTTCCGAGAGGAGGCTAAAGAGGCGGTGGCGTAGGGCACTCCCTGCCTGGGCCACAGTGCGCCACTCGGGGCGCTGCGGCCCCCGGGTCTCAGTGCTGGCAGGAAAACAGCTGGGGCCAAGAGGGAGCGTCATTTCGAAAACCTGCTTCTGGGAACAAAGCGTAAAGTGCAAGCTGGGAGGCGTGGCACTGAGGTGACCTGGCTGGCCGAGGGGGACTGAAGGGCGGACACACTGGGCCGAAGTGGCTCTGGAAGGGGATGACCTTGGGGGCTGAGGTGACCACCAAAGGACCGTTGGATGGTTAGGTGACCCGAGGGGCAGGTGAAGATTGGGTTGACTAGAGTGAAAGGTATAGGAAGCCTGCAGCCTGGGATAATCTGGTCAATTTGGGTGCTGAGTTGCTGCTATAAAATGCAAACGCTTCTCGCCTCGGGCGGGCGTGGCGTTTCGCCGCTCAGGATTCTGCCTGCTTCCCAGTTAATTTCCTCCATTCCACCTTGCTTATTCAGCTAGGCCGAGCCCTCGCATATTTTCTCCTTCCTGCCCACACTTGAGTATGACATTTTTTTTTTTTTTTTTTTGGCGGTACCGAGGATCCTACTCGCAGGCGCGGCGCCACTGAGCTAAATCCTTGGCCCTTGAATGTGAATTATTAAGAAAGTGGGTGTTTTGTATGTCTTGTTCACCTTTGTCTTATCTGTCTTGTCCAATGTATGCCTCTGAGTGGAAGCTCAAATATTTGTTGAATGAATGGGCTACTGTGAAAAATCAAGCCACTGGCACCTGATTATTGGTAATAGCAAGAAAGCATAACCCAGGAGGGATAAAGGCGAGAAAAACGAATCATACTTAGATCCCTCTGTCCATAGAATTTCATTTTGGCCTTTTGTATCCCCCAGGTTCAACAAATCCTAGGTGGAATGGTGATAGGTAATGTCTATGCTAGGGCAGGCTAAAGGGGAAGTGTGAACTCAGCATAACCATGTTTTCACTTTCCCTGGAGATTCTTTCATGTATTAGTTTCAGGTGCAATTTGAATCGCACAGAATTTGAAACACACTGCCTGAGTTCAAATCCTGACTCGACTGTCTGGGTGACCTGGGGGGTTAATACCAGCACTTACCTCCGAAGTAGAAATAAATGTATTAAACAAGCTAATATATGTAAAGTGTTTGGTATAGTGCCTGGCACGTGCTAAGCAGTGTTATAAGAGTTTTTCATTATTATTCACTCACTCTCAACCTGAGCCTTTTAACTCCATAGTCTAAAAGTGTGAGTAGATCTCTGTGAGTGGGTGAGGGTGGGGAGAAAATATTCTACTTCATTTTATAGCTTCTTTTCACTGGTAGATTTAGCATTTCACCATAACCCATTCCTTGCCCAGCCTTCTTGATCTGGCTTCTATCCTTGCTTTGACTAGGACTAAAATTTTGAAGATTGTTAGTGATCTTCATGGAAATTATCCTTCTCTTTGATGTACCTGGCATATATGTTTAGAAGATCTCAGGCTGGGGATTTAGCTCAGTGGTTTTGCTGCCTGCTGCGCAAGAGCGAGGACCCGAGTTTGATCCCTGGTACCAAAAAAAAAAAAAAAAGAAAGAAAATCTCTTTTCTGGGACACCCCCACACACATTGTTTTAGCTCCTATAACACGAATGTAGTTTTCTTTTACCTTTCCAAATATACCTTCTCATTCTCTGTAGCACTTTTGTCTCTAGGCTAGTAATCATGAACACCTTAAGGGTTACCTCTAGTGACTCAGAGATGTATATTCTAAAAGGAGAAGGAAAACTGACCATAGCCTGTGATTATTAGGCAAACTGTAGTCACAGCCTAAATCAATTTTTTCCACACAATCACTTCTCACAATCTATTTTAATTGCCTAATAGTACCCCTCCTTACCTAATCTGAGCATTTTGGGGACAGACTGCAGTGAGTTTTTTTTTTGTATTCCTACTACCTGCCACAGTACCCAGCATATAATACATACTTAATAAATGGGTTTTGAATGTAGATGACTAAAATGGGAAGAAGCCTGATAAAAATAAAAATTTAGGCCGGGGATTTAGCTCAGTGGTTTCGCCGCCTGCTGCACAAGCGCAAGGACCTGAGTTCGATCCCCGGTACCAAAAAAAAAAAAAAAAAGATCAATGGAAAAATAAAAATTTAGGAAAGATAAGTCAAGGCAGTAAGGTGACTATAATTTTAGTTAACATGTATATATAGTTTTTAGTTAACATGTATATTTTTTAAAAATAGCCAGACATGGTGGCTTATGCCTATAATTGCACTACTTGGGAGGCTGAGGCAGGAGGATTGCTAAGAGTTAGAGGCCAGTCTGGGCCACAAAGTTCAAAGCTAGTCTGAACTGTACAGTAAGACTTTGTCTCAAAAACTAAAATATAGTGTCAGGGATGTAGCTCAGTGGTGCCTGCAACTGCCTGGCCAAGTGCAAGATCCTGAGTTCGATTCTTGGTACAAAAAATATATAAATAAAATATATTTGGAACTAAAGTTTATTAGCTCCATAGTTCCCTTTCTGTTTAATCTTCCATTTGGATTACATTTTACATTTCAACTTCCCTTTTTCTGTCAGTAGCATCACTGTTTTCCTGATTTGTAAGCTCAAAAGTTCAGTCATCTTTCACTTAACTGAAGAACTCAATAGTAATACCCAATTTATATGGTGCTTTTCAACTCACAAAACTTTATAGAATCCATTGTTTTATTTAACCAAAGTCCCATGAAGTACCACTTTTACAGGTAATCCTCAGACATTTTTAAGTGGTTTCAGGTTATATAATGTGCAAGAGGCAATTCTGGAAATCTTTCAAACTAGGTCTTTTGATTTAAGGTCAAAGTCCCATATTTCACTTGGCAACTGCCTATGATTTAGACCATTTTCTGTTTTGCAGATAGGGAAACAGGTCTTTCAATGCAACTTTTTTAGCTGGGCATGGTGGCACATGTCTACTTTCTCAGTACTCTGGGAGGCTGAGGCAGGATGATCAAAAGTTCAAGCCCACTATAGGCAATTTAGTGACTTAGGGAGACACTGTCTCAAAAAAAAATTTTTTTTTTGGTACTTGGGATTGAACTCGGGACCTTGCACTTGTGAGGCAGTCAGCAGAACCACTGAGCTAAATTCCCGGCCCCTTTCTCAAAAATTTTTAAAAAACCTTTTTTAGTTGTTGTTTTTTGTTTTTTGTTTTGAGACAGGGTCTTGCTTTATAATGTAGGCTGTCCTTGAACTCACTATGTAGCCCAGGCTGGCCTCAAACTCAAACTCCTGGTGATCCTCCTGCACACACCTGTAATCCCAGCACTGAGGAGGCTGAGGCATGAGGATCACAGTGAGTTCGAGGCCAGACTGGGCTGTATAGTGAGTTGAAGGCCAGCTTGCACTACAAAGCAAGACCTTGTCTCAAAAAAAAGAGAGAAAGGCCGGGGATTTAGCTCAGCGATTCCGGCACCTGCCTCGAAAGCACAAGGTCCTGAGTTCGATCCCCGGTACCAAAAACAAAAACAAAAAAAGAGAAAAATAGTTGGCCATGGTGGCACATACCTATAATTTCAGCATTCCGTGAGGCTGACACAGGAGAGTCACAAATTTGAGCCCAGTCTGGGCAGATTAGCAATTTAAATGCAATCCTGTCTCAAAAAGGACTGGGAATGTATTTTAGTGTGAAGGGCCTGGGTTCAATCCACATTACAGTAAATAAATGGGCTGGGGATGTAGCTCAGTGTAAGGCAGACCCTAGGTACAATAATCAGTACTGCCAAAAAAAAAAAAAAGCTGAGGTCCTTCAAAGTAACTTTTTTAGCTGGGCATATTGGCACATGTCTACATTCCTAGTACAAAGAAAGTAACTTTGAGGGGGTGCTAAAGATTGAACCCAGGACCTTGCACAGGCTAAGCATACTCTTTACCACTGACATATCCCTTAGGTTCCTTTCTGTGTTACTTACTTTTCTCTCGTTGCTGAGACAAAATACCTGACACCTAAAATTGAGAGAGAAAGGTTTATTTAGCTCATGGTTTGTAGAGGTTTCAGTCCATAATTGGCTGGCTCCAAGGCAGGGTGGCACATGGCAGAGGGGCAGCAGTTCATGGCAGACCAAAGGTAGCAAAGCAACAAGGGAACCTTAGCAGCATCTTTCTACCCTTTTTATCCAGACTACTGAGGTTATGGTGGTGCCAAACCAGTCAGTGTAGTGGTTTAGTAATCACATGCCCTTAATTCCAGCATCACACACTCTAGATTCAGCCACCTCTGAAAAAGCTGCCTATGACTGGCTTTTTTTTTTTTTTTTTTGGTACTGGTGATCGAACCTGGGTCCTTGTGCTTTCGAGGCAGGCGGCAGAACCACTGAGCTAAATCACCAGCCCAAGCTGCCTATGACTGGATGAAGCTTTGGGGGAACATCTAGACTCAAACCATAACAGTTCCTTTCAAAGTAAAATTTAGTCACAGAAGGGAGTATTAGTCTTGCGGGGGGGGGGTGTTGGGGGGAGTGTTAGTCTTGAAATAGAATGGCTGGATTTGTCTCACAGTTGACATAGATTTCAGATGATACCAGCATTCTACTGCCAAAATGCCTATTTCCCTCTTTAAAATTTCTTTAAGATTTCTTACAGATAGACTAAAGTACCTTTCTGGAATAGTCCTGAGGGAAATAGGATGTAGGGTAAAACAAGAATGGTCATATGGCCAGGTGGTGGTACATGCCTATAATCCCAGCACTCTGGAGGCTAAGGCAGGAGGACTGCCTCAGTTCCAGGCCAGTCTGAACTGGAAATCTAGACCCTGCCTCAAACCCATGCCCTCAAAAAAAAAAAAAAAAGGTCATGTGTTGTTGATATTGTTAAAGCTGG